ATATATGGGAACAGGATTAAAGTGGAAAAGAGTTGATGACTTACTGTAAACAGTAATTTAATACTTTTTTAATGGATACGTAAACAATTCAGAGAAGCTAAATGACTGATGCTAGCTTTTGTTGGTGATGTGGTGTGCACTCCCTTTGGCACATTTTGTTAAACAAAATCTAAATCTGGGTTTTGAAAACCAGAGTATAATCTGAGTCTGTGGGCTTTAATTGTAATGAAATATCCCAAGACACAGGAAATGTGAAACACCACTTTGTTTTTTAAAACATATAAGGGACATTTTTATCTTCTCATTTTCCACTGGAAGTCACCCGTGGAATTGGAAGAAATTGAAATATTCCCCAAAGTAACATTAATGTTTCATTAGTTTTTCCTTCATTGCCGTTTAACTGTTTCATTCTCCATCCATTCAATATGTTTGTTTCTGTACTCACTGTTAGTTATTCTCTACATATGTTCATTTTATACGTTTACGTCTTCATCAAGATTTAAGGAGCGACTGTTATTTAGGCCAAAAATGCAATTTTTGAAATAAAAATGAAATATCACATTCACAGCAATTTTATTAAATCATATCATAACTTATTTAACCTTTATCAGTTTAGCTTTATTTTATTCCACATAAAAGTTAGCGATTTATTAATTAATTTATATTAACAGTTCAAGTGAGACAAAGAAACCTAAGACGGCTTCCAAATACATCTCACACTAAAAGAAAGGGAAAAAGAAAGACTGAAAATTAAAGACACAGACACAAGTCAGTTTGGTAGTTTTTAAGAAATGCCACTTAAAACCACAGATGCCAACCTGTTTCTGTTGCAAGAGAAAAAAAAATCAGGGATTCATCCTCTGGGAACCATGAATGTATAAAATTTCAGGGCAATCCATTTAATAGTTGTAGTTATACTCCCTTTAAACCAAATCAAATGTAGTCCTCTTAAAGTGCACCAAAAAGTAGACCAACAGAAAAGGGGCTCAGTTCTTCTTGCTTTCATATTGTCAGTTCATTTGAAAGAGGACTCAGTTCTCTTTTTGGTCAGCTTCAGATCTGATCTTTCTGTTCACACTATAGCCTACATATAAAATATATACTGACATAGTTTTGTTTTTATTTTGACATGCTACTGCAGAGTGGTTATGAAGCCCCTATGAACTTAAAATTGGAAAAAAAATTCTGTACTGTAGACTGTTGTTGTTTGATATGTTCTGCAATCCACATCTGGAGGAGTGCAGTATCTTCTGTAGACTAAACTACTTCTCATCCTGCATCCTTGCAAGCAATACAGGCCGACATGGTTTCATCTGTTTTTTTTGGGCGTCCCAGTACAATGGCATGTGATATAGAGGGCTAAATACAACTGCAAAGAGCAAAGCGAACCTGGAGTGCTTCGTGTTAACAGTGCCTTACACTGCGAACTTGAAGCAAACTGAGGTGGTCTGAGTTCGGTTCTCTTCAGAGGGGTCTGGAGTGTTCACATATGTGTAAAGGATGCTGAGTCACCACCTGAGTCCACTTAGAGGGCTGAAAAGGACCAAGTGTGAAAACGTCCTTAGCCTGGACTAGAGTGGTGGACTGACTTACCAACATTGCCATCCCTCGAGTCACACTGCTAGCATGCCTACTTAAAGAGAGAATGCCAGGTCAGGTTCCTGAAAATCATTGGAGAAGAATCCTATCATAAACCTCATTAGAGGTGGAAAGAGTACTACAATATGGTACTCAAGTATAAATACTATTACTTTAAAGAAAAATGACAAAAGTACGAATGTAAAAATTTACTTTAAATAAAAAACATCAAGGCTGCACCTCTTTTTTGGAATCAGAAAACCAAAGATCCCATAGATGTGCAGTTGATGTGTGTTAGAAGTATCATTATGACGCATTTGTATTATTTCTTGTCAAACAAATGTTTTATAGACATTTCTAAAAGCCTAATTGTTTTGTGACCTTGGCTGAACCTGAGCGTTCATGACACCTTAATAAATAAAGGTTGATCGCTGGCATGTCCATTCAGTCTTCCCTCGTCCAAGTGGATCAATCAGCCAACACAGTGGCTGCATATATTTCTGGACATCTACTGTACATCACTTCTGGCTCCAAAAATCCAAGAATGCAACGCTTGAAACATCAGATTCGAGGCTTCAAAATTGGAGTCTACAAACCCTTTGGCGATGTCATGGTAGCTATGTCCATTATTTTATATAGTTTATGGATGTAATTACCACACTGACAGTGAATATTCAGGTATCTTATGTGGCTCAAAGCCTTGGTTAATCCACTACACAACAGCTTTTCTGCATTTTCCCATTTCTCTCCTGATGTAACAGCTTGTTTCTTTGGTGTGCAGCCTTGGCGATGAAACAATGCCGGTCTGATTTATCAGGACATTTTCATGTGACTTTTTTTTCAGGTGAGACTTGAAATATAGAAAAATACAGGCTACAGTTTTGTGGGCTACCAATGGTCTTTTCATTACTGAATTTATATTATATTCATTTTTTGCTGTTACAGATATCAAAAAGATGCATTAAGCAAAGCAGTACAAGTCAGGCAGTATCTAAGTAACAGAGTGTGATAATACAACCCAACTGCTAGAAAAAATGCTGGCTTTTTACATTTCTGCAAACCATGGATACGTTACATTTACATGTTGTTACGTAGCAAATACTATGACACTTGACATTTAACAGCACTGTGATTAACATGTGGTTTTGATTTAGGCATAAAAAGCACTTGGTTATGGTTTGTAAAAGTTCATGTTTTTGATTAAGGGCTTTCACACCTGAAAGTCCAGACCAAGGTCCGGACCATGGTCCTTGTTTTTGTTACATTGTATACTTTTTGTCCCTTGGTTTTGCATTCACATTGCAATTCTGTGAGCGGACTAAAGAACTTTACATGACATAGTTACGTTCATCTACGTGGGTTGCGTCACCTTATATTTGACATCGATTGGTTAATAAATGGGCGGGGGTCTGACGTCAGCGTGTTGTCAAGTAGGCGGGTAGAAATCCCCTCAATGTTTACAAACATTACCTCACGAAAATGGACGAACCGTTTCTAATAATTGCCACGCTACTCATACTATTATGGCATTGCTAGCAGCTGCAGCACCAACGTAGAACACAATACTCGCGGCTCGTACAAAAACGAAATATAAATCTACACCTTGTGTGAAGATGTCATTGTCGCCCGCTGGAAGGAGGAGGAGGAGACTAGGAGTGTTAGCAATGCTGAGAGCCCTGTCAACTCGGGAGCGACCAGCGTCGAGGTGAGTTGACTTGACTTCTCTCCTGGCGGAAATGAACAACCGGCGCACCAGAATTTCCTGTCAATGGTCCGAAAGTCCATACCATCCAAAAAAATGCTTTCACACTAGTAACGGACTGGACCATGGTTCCGTTTGGTCCAGACCGAGACCACCTCTTTTGGCCGGACCAAATTTCGGCCGTTGGTCCGGGGGTAGTTTTCACACCTGCAGACAAAACTGTAAAGTCCAAAAGTCCGGACCAAACAACCTAGGTGTGAAAAGGCCCGGTTTGGGAGCGCAATCACTGCTGGAAAAACAGCAATGTTTCAGTAAAGAAAACCACTGCTTTTCTTGCCACTATCCCCGCTAGAGAGACAGCAACACCCACATTTAGTGGCTAAAAAACCCCAGGAAAAACAGCAATGACTAAATAATGATCATTTTTGTTTTCAGACAATGGTCTGCAGGTGCCACGCCACCCACCATCCCCTCCACCTCCAAAAGACAAAGTCAGCTCATATACTTCATCACTTGCATATGAAATATGCAACTATAACGTATTTGTGGTTTGCAGAGACATATAATGCCAACATTTTTTCTGGCAACTAGGCTGGATAATATAAGCAAATTTTGAAGCAATTTGATAATAAAGTCCTTAAATCAGCCTCATTGAATGGGGAAAGGTTGGCCAATTTCATGATTATTTTTTTACATTAAGGGTGTTATTAATTAACATTTCCTATAATCACTCATTTGCTTGTTGGCACTGCTCTAGATATATGTTTTTTTATATATATATATATATTTTCAGAAGTGACTTCATTATCAGTGCTTCCTTCACTTGTTCCACTATCTGCTACACAACACACTGCCTGAAACCTTCAACTCACTGAGTGCATCGAGAACAGCTCTCTTTTTTTCCTCAGCACTATAAACACCATTCAGTTTCCTGTCAGATGTGATTGCATGGCAACAGTGTAAAACACAGTGTAGAGACTGGTTGTCTTTATTCAAAATAATAATACAAATGTCTCCAAAAGATAATGTGGCAGTTATTTATTGATATTTACCTTAAACTTTAAAATATCAATGCCTAGAATGAAGGATCATGGGCTGGAAAATCATGCTTGACAAAAAAAAAAAAAAAAAAAAAAAAAAAGGAAATTGAAAATCAGGCCAGTCATTCAACTCCCAATCTACTTCTTTATCAATCAGTAGACAAGCCCTTGACTTTTTTTATGTGGCCGCGGTTGAGGGAAAGGAGGGCTTTGCATGACTGGAGAGAGTGGCTTTGAATCCCCCCCTGTTCACACCAAAGAGCTGTGGTAATAACAAAAGAAATATTGAATAGATATGTTTATTTAACTGGTAGGGTTAGAAAATCAAAGAGCTGAATGTGTGCTAACCTAAGCAATGACGATTCACACACCCACGCACTCACACCCACACCCACACACACAAACACACACACACACACACACACACACACACACACACACCTTCCCGGAAATCCTTTACTGCATTCTGACAAATCAGGTTGCACTGAAACTTGAATATTTTATGAATATTGTCAAGATAATATAACATTGACATTGCAGTAGGAATGTTAATATTGAGACGTAAACCAAGCCTTATACAGTCTCATAAACATCTTTACTTTCTCAGAAAAAAAAAAATCTTTTCCTGAGTCTTTTTTGTGTTTTGCAGTTGAAAATGGGTTAAACTCTATTCTTCTTAATTTTTTTTTTTTTTAAAGAAGGTGAAGAATGAGCTTTACAGCTCAATGTCAAAATGGAGTGGTGTGGAAAGGTATTTTCGCTGTTGGCCTTTTGCCCTCATAAAGAATTTATATGCCCACTGGAATCAATGAGAGATATTTCATCTCGTTTCTCTGTGAGTAACCTTTAGATAACCTGGGGCAAAACCAAGGAGTTGCTTTGGAAAATATAAAATAAAAAGATAAGTGATAAACAAGTCTTTCTCTTCCTTTTTTTTCAACATACAACAACATGTCTCCTGTCAGTGTTCTCAGACACCCGTTCCTAGATCATTCCAGCCAGCCAGGGAGGGAGAAAGAGTCCCACAGATCCCAGTATACACACCATCACAAACATCCAGAGGAATATCCTGTCAATGACCATGGCCACATACTTCCAGTCCTCCTTCACCTAGCAAAGAAGAGACACAGCAGAGAGGGATATTTCAAATTTCACACCACACCACCTTTCTTTTTACCAGCTGTCAGTTTTCACCCTTGATTGATTTCTCTCGAATGGCTGATTTTTTCATTAGGAGGCAGCTATCCTCTAAATGTCAGTCAATTCGTGCTCGTCCCTCTTATGAAAAATTCAAGGTCAAATTACCGAGGTCCCATTGTTTCAACGACAGGCCTTTTCTGGCTTGAGAAAGACAGTGCATTGTGGCATTGACAGTGACTGGTGTCAATGAATTAAATAACTGTCTTTTAGATTTTTTGTGTTTTTGGAATAATTGTGCACATTTTCAAACTTCTTCTCCCATTCCACAAAGACAGCTCTCATTCTTTTCCAGCAACTCTTTCCTTATTGAAATACATTTTTACTGATATATTTCAAAGCGATAAAAATTAGTTGTGTAACTTTTTTACACTCATGAACAGGCAATGTTGAAGTAAAGGCCCAATCCCAATACCCCCCCTTCTCCACTACCTCTTAGCCCTTGGCCCTACCCCTACCCCTTGCCCACTACCCCTTGGCCCTCAAAGTAAAGCAACGAGGGGTAGGGATAGAAATCTTTCCCTAGGAATTGGGACACCAATCACTACGTCACCGCGTCGGTTACGTTCACGCATACGTAACTATTTTAAACAGGAAGCTGCAAGCCATCTACATTTCCAATCGGCATCTACAGTGGAGTCTCATTCATCCTAACGTTACCGATCGCGTTTGCCGCATTCATCATGCTTCGTTTGATGAACGACAGTCGGTAGGGGACTTCTGCTAACTAGCTAACCAGCTAACATTACGAGGCAGCATAGTTATACTGCCGTGTTATCGTAATGTGAAAAGTCAGACAATTTTGCAGAACAGGACAGATGACAGACGCCAGAAGTGCGAGCTAGCTAGCTAGCTAACAAGCAACCTGACGACGGCAATGTTAGCTATGTATGAACTTTTTTCCCCGTCTCTTGCTCGGTGGTAGCCATGGCAACGTCTACCCCTTGATGGCAAGTCAGCATCTGAAATCCCTCACTCCGAAGGGCTAGTTTCATACCCACTACGCCTTGTTATGCCCCCTACCCCTACACGCAAAAAGGAATTGGGACACCACTACCCCTTGCGGGAACACGCAAATATAGGGGTAGGGCCAAGGGGTAGGGCCAAGGGGGGGTATTGGGCAGGCCCATAGTCTCAGAAAATTGTCCCATGTCTGATTTGCTCTGGGAAACTCTTAATTATGTAATGTAAGTAAGTTTTATAAAAAGAATTCCTCAAATGTTTTTTTTATGTTTTCCAGTTTTTCCAAATATTAGCACTACATAAACATTTACCAAGGTTGTACTGATCACTTATATGGAGATAATTTCAACTCACTGAAAAATCTGCATCCTCTGCCCTGAGATGATCAGCGACGTACTGAACTCCCTCTATGGCCCGTTGCATAGCTGGAGAAATAGTTGGAACCATGTTGTCCTGTTGGGTACTTGCATCTTTAGTCGACTCTGCGGTGAGGGTTTCTGCTAGGTTATCTGTAGAAGCTTGTTTCTTCATCCACCCTGCGATTGCCAAGAGCCCAGGCCCTTCATCGTGCAGACAGCAGTACTGAAAGCTGCGGGAGCGACACCGATGCCCAGCTTTCTGGAGAAGCTCCTTCTGTTGGTCACACACTTGTTCTTCACTGTGGGAGCGGCCATTTGGGGCCAGCGTATTTGGTTCTTCCCTGGATAGGCTGCGTAGTGGGCCCAGTGGCAAAGTTGGAGGCAAGGACAGTTGGGAAGAAGATGAGGCCGCAGAGTTGTGTCCTCGGAGGGATTGTTTCTCGGAGAGAACTGAATACTGACCGGTTGTGGACTGGCAGAAAATGTTGGCTTTTGGTGGGTGATCATCCTTGTTGTGGTCCTCAAGAGGGGAAGAGGGTGGAGAGGGTGAGCAGACAAGGATGCTGGGACTGTCAGATGGAGTCTTTGGGAGTTTTTTCTCTATCTGGGCTGTTTGTCTCAACCCTGTCTCTAAACCCGTCCAAAAGGCCTGTGAGTTGCCTGTTGTAGATATGGTGGGGGGACGGTGCATCATCTCAATGAGCTTCTTGCAGTGCTGCTTGGCTGTGCCTGGCGGACGCTTCATGAAAAGGACTCGAGGCACCATGTCCAAGAACACTCTCCGCACCCAGTGAGGCATGCCATGGGTTTGTGGTGAACGGTGATGTACGTTTAACACAAACACAGTAATTATGATGGAGAGCGTGACGAAGACCATGGTGAACAGCAGGTATTCACCGATCAGTGGAATCACCAGCGATGTGGATGGTATAATCTCTGTGATCAGCAGGAGGAAGACTGTAAGGGACAATAACACTGAGATACATAAGGTGATCTTCTCTCCACATTGCGATGGCAAATAAAACACAAGAACAGTCAAACAGGAGATAAGAAGACAGGGGATGATGAGGTTAATGGTGTAGAACAACGGAAGCCTCCGGATGATGAAATAGTAAGTGATGTCTGCGTAGATCTCCGTGCAGCACTCGTACTTTTTGGTATTGTACTTGCCCACTGCATTGACAATCACCCACTCGCCGCTCTCCCAGTAGTCCATCTGATCCACATCGCTGGCCATGCTGATCAGATCAATCTTGGCGCGGTCATAGGTCCACGAGCCAAACTTCATCTTACAGCTTTGCTGGTCAAAAGGGAAAAAGGTGACATCTATGCTGCATGAAGACTTGTAAATGGCCGGTGGCATCCACTTTATCCGACCATCATGAAACAGGTGTGCCTTCGTGAGGTGAGTTACGGCAAAGTCGCCATCAGCGCTGTACAAGCACAGGAAAGGAGAGAAAGTGAAAAGTGAAAAAAAATGTGTGTTACATTTTTACCTTCATCTAGAGTTGTATCATAAAACTTAATTCTGGCCAAGTTGTTCAGGCAATATTTTTTAGACAACGCATCCTCACTCTGACCACATATTGACATTTGGTCATGGCATTTCCACGTTGAGATATGACGTGCAAGGTACCCTGGGTGCAATGGTTTGGCTTTATAATCTTATGAAAAGTGAACACTGGCCTCCTGGGTGAAAGTCCATTGTTGCTGGACCTATCCACCACCCATTCCCCCAACAAACTTGGACTTCCGCCCCCTTAACTTAGGTTGTTGTCCTGCCAAATTGACTTTGAGTCTCAAAGCTAAATGTTCTTGTTTTAACAACATCTCACAGTTGTCTTCAGTGGATAGAGCTTAGTCTTTTTTATGGGAAAGCTCAGGAAAAAGTTAAGTTGACTGTTTTGTATCCACTTAAGGTGAAATGCAATGTAATTTACTACATAACTGTAGCACTGCAGTTGCTTATAAAGCAAAAAGACATAAATAGTTATTACAAGCAATGACTTTTACTACAAGCTAGAATCTATTCTATTTGAATGAATGACTGAAGAACAAATTATGACTTTTTTATATAGCATGACACGTGCAAAGTATTGAAAATGTAATCTCGTACATCACTGATGTTCTTTTAAAAGACAACTATTTCAATAGGAGAACATTGGAAAATTATTTACTATGATTCAAATCTTTTGTTTCTTTTCTTTATCGCACCCTTTACATGTTTGTATTAACTAAAATTTGGCAAAGACACACTTTTTGTAAATGTCTGTATACTGATGACACTCACATTTACATGTCTGTTTCACTAAGCTGGTCAAAGATTGGGCAGTGCTGTGTAAATAACCAGAGTGGTGCCAAAGAAGAAATACTGGAAGTCCGTGATCCAGTCTCTGAAAACTGTTGTGGCGACAGCTGCCCCATCCATCTCTCTCATCTTCTGCATCTATAATCGTATCAATCCTTGTTTGAAATCCTTCCATCATTCCAGCCCTGTCATTACACACCTGAACCCCGCCCATTCCTTCCTGCCTCAGCTCATCATCTGACCAAGTCAACAGTCCACCTTGTTGCAATTAGAACTCAGTACATATAGAAACAAACATCAGTTACTCTGTTAGATGTTCTGTGTTGCCCTCTGTCTGTTCTGCCTGTATCTGCTCTGAACATCTGCATGCCATAGCCCACTAAATTTCCTTCCTTGTTGCCAGATGCACTCCTGTGTTTTGACATCGTAAAGACCACTGAAGGGCACTTTGCCCTTAAGTGTGATCCACTATTACAATAAAGTTAACCTAAGTCAGATTTTTTGGTGTATTCATAGATTCAAGACCTAATTTTAATAGACACATCAAGACAATAACAACATGAGGGGTGGGGCCTGAGAGACCCCGCAAACCATGAATGTTTTCTCAAAAGCTGTGAATCTATGCTATTCCCTAAGGGCCTGTGTCCACATAGAATTTTTGTCTCACCACCAGCATCATTTTTCACTTGGTCCCAGTGAGGGGAGAGCCTATGCTGCAGCATGTGGCCACCTAGAAAAAAGGGGTCACGCCCAGCACCTTTTTGTCAGAGCACTTCAGCTTTTACGTGTGACCACTCCGAGCACTTCTACTTGAAAATCTCTGAACTTTTCAAAAAGGCTGCTCCTTTAGCGACTGTCCATTCTGAGCTGTATAAAACTATCACAACAAAGAAAGAAAAGCTGCCGATGTGTTGTGCTTTTATCACTGTATGTGATGTAAGCTTGTTGTTAACTGTGTAGTCATCCAGCTGTTAACCTAGTGTTACATAAGCTACCTAGTTAGCGTTAATGTCAATATATTGTTGTCACAGAATAAAAACTCAAATGTAATGCAAAAAAGTGCTCCCAGCGCTTTTTTAAATGACACAGGGGTTTTGCCCTGCCACCGCCTCTCTGGCTCAGTTCAGAGTATTGAAGACAACATTTACTTGGCTTTGTTGGAGATCCTTGATTTGCAAATGACCTATGGCTAAGCCACGCCCCCCTCCACTCACTCAGACAAACTATCAACATTCAGTGACCAGCGCTATGGCAGGTGTCACAGTACACAGTATTTTGCAGGAAGCAGATAAGTTAATGAAGCTAAGCTCCAGAAGTTAACGTTAGCTTAACTAGAGCCCTTTGGACAACAGCTAACAATGATGTACGATCACCAAAGTACAAAACTACAACAAAAGAGGCTAATGAACTCCCAGCAAACAAAGTGACATGATGAACAACGCAGCTAGGAGCTAACGTTAGACTACCTTTAGCTAATGTTAGCTAGAGATGTTAAAGATAACTTTATATTTCTTTCCAGCAAAGTGACAATATGTTGCCTCAAACACAATGTTGTCTTACCTTAAAACAGATGTAGACATCATTGTTAACCTTATTCACGTTGAGTTGATGTTGTGGTCTAACGTTACTGCACAACTTTATCCAAAGGAGACACTTTTCTCGGTTGAGATGTGGTTTAGGAAAGGGTAAAAAATACACCTCGTCGCCCAGTCTCTCAGGATACCTTGTGTCGGAGTTGCATGTACCCTATGCACACCATTTGACCATTTTTAAACTTCAAATCTCAGAAAAAGCTCCTAAAACTGAACAAAACTGACTTTCTGTAATGCATTTCAATGAACGTCCAGGCAGAGAATGTCCGAGTGTATGGGAATGGCTATACGCAGTGTGATTGGCTCATCACGTTTGAGGGTGGGACTTAGCCATACGTCAATTAGAGCAGAGATATTGGATAAAGGAGATACCCAATGTTATCCAATGTTAAGAAAACGGTTACTCTTCCTGTCTCCTAAGTGGGCGTGGTTAGCTCTCCCTCCAATCAGAGCCTGTTCTCCCTCACCGCCTGTTTATCAAGATCACGAGATCTCGCGAGAACTTGTTTTCTGAGACGGACAGGGCTCAAACAAAGTTAACTTTCTCTTGATCTGTGCGGATGAAAAATGCAGCTTTAGGGCTCTAGTTTCGCAGACTGGGCGAGGCGGGGGCGCAGCGCACCTGTGCTTCGCCAACTGGGTGTGGCCAGGCAGATTTTGCAAGTTTGGCACACCGTGCGCCTGGCACAGCTACTCCTCTTTCCCACCTCCGTCCCTCCTACCTGCGCAAGTCGGAAAGAGGGAGGAGAGAAGGCGTGGAGTGGGTTTTACACACATCACACCAATCAAATGAGCCCCTCTCCTCACCTTTAAATGCCCCACGCGAAGGCGTGATGAGAGTTTACTCAATTCACCATGGCAGAAGAGAGCAGCAGCGTCAGACGGCCAAACTTCTCCCAGGAGGAAACTGATGTTTTGGTCCGGGAGGTCCAAGCTCGCAGTGTCCAAATATACGGAACTGCGAGCAGACCTCCACGGGCTGATGATGCAAAGGTAGCCTGGGAGGAGGTCACCACAATTGTTGTATGTTTCTCTCGTGCGCACCCTCTCTCTTTCTCTCTCGCAGTCTCACTCTGTTTCTTTTCTTTTGACTTTTCTAAGATGACAGATGCTGAATATATACTCCCTATCTGATGCTGTGGCTGTTTGTGGTTGGCTGAGAGCAGCTGTGTTAATCAAATTAGGTTGGGTTTCCATTACACGTGCCAAACGGTGCCAATCCCCTTTGATCTGATATCAGATGTGACGGGACAGTCGATATAGAGATACATTTATGTGCTGATTGCAGATAGTTGCATTGAATAGTGTTTTTTGGGTATTTATTGCATCGTTAATGTGCCTGACATTCTGGAAATCTGCCTGTGAGGTTTTGGTGACGTGTGCGCACTGTCCGCCGGTCAGCCAAACTTCGGCTTACACCGGCTGCGCTCCCCCTGCGCTGACAGTAGACCTGGTTTCAGCTGGCGAGCTTTTAGCGCACCTTCGGTGAAGCCTTTTGGCATGAAACTGTCACTGCGCCAAGCTGGATCTGTTGACACCTCCCCCTGCTGCGCTGCCACACCCATCTCAGCGCACCTCGGTCTGCCAAACTACCAAACTGAGTGTGCCTCGGGTTGCGCTGTTCGAAACTAGCTCTGCACGGGGTTCGCCACCCTGTGCCACCCTGCACTGCGCCGGGAAACTAGAGCCCTTAGTGTCAGAATGTTGGTAAGATGTGTGGCTTGTGGAAAATGAACCCAATATTTACTTTAGTGACTACAGGGCGAAAGAATTGACCATAAATTGTGATCACGTTCATTTTCCTCATTGATGACAATACATTCAGAGCTGCCGCAAGTCTCCTACGGGGGCGTGGCGCTGACGTCACTGAATCAGGAAGTGAGCTGAGTGGGGTATCGCACTTTATCCAATATCTCTGATTAGAGCAGCCAAGATTATTATGGGATGGATTTCATTGTAGCTGATTTGTCAGCTAAACATTCATTCTGTGAACTCTACTCAAACATAGTGTAATGTTTTGATGATTAATCGTGCTGTTTACGCCAAATTCCTACCTCACCTATGTTACGCAACTTAAAAATAGTAACATCAGACATTTTTGCACCTGTTAAGGTTTCAGGAGAGAAAATCAGTCATTCTCAACATTTATTGTCTTGTGGCTTTAGAATGATAAAAATTGTTGGAGATCAATTAAATACAAAATAGAATGCAGGCTCTACAGCATGATCTTTTTCTTTTTTAAATTTTGGCAACTGTCATTTTTCCCCCTAAATAATGTACAGATTTTTAGGCACTGTATTATCTCGAATGGCTTGAAGAATAGTGCATGTAGCTGCTGTAAAAGGGAAAAAATCTCCAGGGGGCAGCATGACCCCAGACCCCTCAGATTTGGGTTGAGCCTCTAATGTTTACAGCATCTGGCCCCTCCCCTGAAAAATGTTAGCCTTTTACAAACACAACAATATAGCAATTATTTCAGAATGCATGTCAAAATCTCTATATCTCCAGCAGGTTCAGAAATCAGATGTCTACAGCTCATTCTGAACTCTGCTGCTCAAAAAGCTGAGCATGAGTCACAAAAATCTTTGTTATTCTCTTTAAGTTAATAATTAAGTTAATAATTAATAAAAGTCTTTGAGTTTTATTAATTTTGTGTCTTTTGTTGTTTTAGTCAGCGTATTATGTCAAGGACATTTCAATATCCCACGCATGAAATTTGCTTTACAAATAAAGCCACGCCATGACCCAGCCTCAGATACTTTTGTACATTTGTGTAATGACGTGTGAATTTGACAGTTTTACATAAATAATTCTGTTTGTGTGTTTCCAATACAGTTTTTCATATTAGCTAATCTCCCATATTCAGAGTGAAACGAACACAGCTCCACCTGGAACACTCACACCAAATGCATTTGATCTGAGGCCCTTTGAAACACATCCAATTACATCTAATCTTTTAATTCCCGGCCTAATGTGTTGCTTTGTACGATGTACCAAGCTTTGTTTGTAACCGCGTCCATTAAGGCTGACCTTGTTCACATTTACTTTAGTTAAATTACTTTATGACATTGGCACAGGACAGGATGTTTGGCACAACAACACAATCTTCATGCTTTCCCTCCAGTCATGCCATCTGTTGGAATTAAATCATCAAAATCCAAACTTTGGTTGCTATGTGATTATTTTTGCCCTGAATCTCTTACAATTACATGATATAAAATCTATTGACACAGATCCTCACTTGTTGTACAGGACAATGTCGGGCCTCCAGATGATCTCTGAGGGAATACGAATGGAGGTGACATTTTCATATTCCTCTGGGTTCCAGCGGAGTTTGTAATCGTTCCATTCCTGCAGGAATACATTAATCATATTCATACACTGAAGCTTTATATTTGATTGTATCTTTAGCACGTTTTATCTCTTACTATTACGTACTTGCTTGACCCATACGTTTGTGGTCATCATCTGGTTCTTCTCATCCTTATTTCATGTAAATGAAAGAGAAAATGATTAACATCAGTGATGATTATCTTCTTTAAAATGATTTGTGTGTCAGTCTGGACTCCATCATCACATGGATAGAATTTCTGTCAACATCTCATTTTCTAGTCATTTATTTTTTCAAAGCTACCACATGCACTCACGAATCATTTACTTAAGAACTCAACATACATAACCTCTATTTATAAAGACAGATTAGTTGTGTAATATGCCAGGAAACAAAAAAAAAGAAAAAACATTATGCAGTGCTTCGTGCAAAAACACCCTCAGTGTGCTGTGTCTGTTGCTTTGCTGCTACTGCTGGCAACCTGCTATCTCCAGCACTTTCTCAGCAACATCTAAGACACAGCAGTCAGTGAAAACACACTGAAAGGGAAGACAACTTCACCAAGAGCTGACTCTCACTACCAGGCATGTGGAGCAAGTGCTGTCACCTAATTGTGTGTCAAAAACCTGGAGAATCATCCCTGTAGCGATGCAGGCTGCACATATTCAGTCTTGAAGCTGCACCAGGCAACTTTGCACGGCTCCAAATGGCAGTTAAAGGTGTTATAAACATGTTTTTTACCTACGTGAACAGAAACCCTGCAACATAATTAGTGTCTGTAATGAAAAGATGAGACAAGAGGCAAGAGAGAATAAAGATTTTATTTTGTTGAGACCAGCTGTGTCTGGATTTGAATATTTACTGCCAGTGTTAGCATACTTGACAACTGAATTTAATTTGGGAAAATAATTCACTCTCTTCCGTTGTGGTTTCATTTCCGCTGATAAGTGATCTGTATATTTAGATTTATCTCTCCTTCCTGGTGGAGCTTTGAGCTGGTTGGTATTGTGATCATAATGAAATAATACATAAGACTGAGAGAGCACAGTTGAAAATGTGTCATTTAGACAATTGCACTGCACAGACACCATCATAACACTCATAATATTAAATCAACTTTTTAAGGACCACACCTCAGCATCTAACCTGGGTGAAGTGATATTTGGCAGTAAGTTTACATGCTGTTTAATTTGCTGCAGCTGCCCATTTTATTAGCTATTCAGCCTTCAAACTGACATTAACATTTCACTTTTCCCTGGTGAATGTTCTATCCAATTGCTAGAATAAATGTTGGTTGTCATCAAAGTGGTCAATGTGTGGTTATCTGTAGGCACAAAAAAAAACACCACCCTGCACAATCTCTGCTGGAAACACAGTGATGTCTTGGTACAAAACAACCGCTTTTTGTGGCACTATCCCCAGGGGAAACACGGCCACACTGGGTCACTTAAAAACACCCACATTTGGTGGCTAAAAAGCCGTTGAAAACGCAGTGATAACTAAAAAGCAACCTGTGTTGTTGTGTGTTGGTCTTGAACAGTAGTCTGTAGTGGTCTGCAGCCTGGGAGGCGTCTTAGTTTGGTGTCACCATAGCTACAGGACATAGTTACTTTGTGGACATAGCTACCGTGATGTCACCCATCAGTTTGTGGACTGTGGTTTCGGAGAGCTCTGCATTGTAGCTATTGCCATCTTGGGTTTTTGGAGCCAGATGTGATCATATTTGGAGGAGAGGGTGGAGCTGTGGATGAGCAAGGGGCGGATCTGACACGTAGACCAATTTCCAACTGGTGGGTCGTAGTCAAAAAGTGGGTCTCGGTCCATGCTGAATAGACCGCAAGTGACTTGCAATGGGTCAAGTTTGTAAAAAAGACACTTTATTTTGAAGTACAGGGAATTTCTGGCACAGAGGTTTTTATTTTGAAGTGCCATTTCCTGCTGTAGAGTGAGTGACTAACAGGCTACTTGACAGAGACAGCAAACTAGTTTGACAACATTCAAATACAACGCTAAATTTATCAAACTGGGTGGACCTTGAACTAACGACTACGGAGAAATCTGGACCCTGTGGCGGGACCAGTCAGGAACCACTGTAATGGACCGCAGCGACACCTCACACAAATCCTGTCACTCAAGCAGCCCTAACCTTAATTATGTGTAACTTGTTGGATCTGTGTCCACATAGCGTTTTTCATCAGTAGAAAAGAGGTGGTAGGGTCCTGGGGGTGGTTATGTTTCCCATTTTAATTTGAAAATTGATTGAATTGGAGCTTAAGTGTACATGGTAAAATGTCTGCTTTGAGTAGGAAAGGTCAAGGGGCGTTGATGTAGGATAATAACTTTATTTTCTGTTAACTTAACCCTGTTTGGTTCATCTCACTCACTAACTCTCATTATCTCACTCTCTCAGTAACTCTCACTTTCTCACTCACTATCTCTCTCACTTTCTCACTCACTAACTCTCACTGTCTCACTCCCTCAGTAACTCTCACTATCTCACTCCCTCAGTAACTCTCTCACTATCTCTCTCACTCCCTGAGTAACTCTATCACTATCTCGCTCCCTCAGTAACTCTCTCACTATCTCGCTCCCTCAGTAACAATCTTACTATCTCTCTCACTATCTCACTCCCTCAGTAACTCTCTCACTATCTCGTTCCCTCAGTAACAATCTTACTATCTCTCTCACTATCTCACTCCCTCAGTAACTCTCTCACTATCTCGCTCCCTCAGTAACAATCTCACTATCTCTCTCACTATCTCACTCCCTCAGTAACTCTCTCACTATCTCGCTCCCTCAGTAACAATCTTACTATCTCTCTCACTATCTCACTCCCTCAGTAACTCTCTCACTATCTCGTTCCCTCAGTAACAATCTTACTATCTCTCTCACTATCTCACTCCCTCAGTAACTCTCTCACTATCTCGCTCCCTCAGTAACAATCTCACTATCTCTCTCACTATCTCACTCCCTCAGTAACAAATCTCACTATCTCTCACTATCTCGCTCCCTCAGTAACTCTCTCACTATCTCGCTCCCTCAGTAACAATCTCACTATCTCTCTCACTATCTTACTCCCTCAGTAACTCTCTCACTGTCTCACTCCCTCAGTTACTCTCTCACTATCTCTCTCCCTCAGTAACTCTCTCACTATCTCACTCCCTCAGTAACTCTCTCACTATCTCTCTCACTATCTCACTCCCTCAGTAACTCTCTCACTATCTCACTCCCTCAGTAACTCTCTCACTGTCTCACTCCCTCAGTTACTCTCTCACTATCTCTCTCACTATCTCACTCCCTCAGTAACTCTCTCACTGTCTCACTCCCTCAGTAACTCTCTCACTATCTCTCTCACGAATGGTCAGTGAATGGTCAGTATTTGTTGTTCTTTGATATGATGTTCTGTATTCATAAAGCCTGATTTGATATATCTTTTGGATCTTGTATCATTAACTCATTTCCACATTTATATCCAGAATGAAAAACAAAAACGCTTATAATGTTAAACAAAGGCTAAAACCAACAAATCAAATAGAGACAGCGACAGCCACCCACCCCGTCACATGAGTTATCTCCCTGTCACTTGAGTTACCACCCCATCACAGTGTAATTTTCTTTAAAAATGATGGAAAAGGAGTGAAATGCTTCATACATTAATGTGGAATAGTGTTCTTATTTTGTTGACTAATTAAATAAATGTAACTTTTATTTGACAATTTGAAGTGAAATTGTATTTTTTGTTTAAAAAGTGAGGCAGATGATAGATCAAATTCATATTTCAAGATTAAGAATCTGAAAATTAAAGAAACTAATTAAATAACATGGTTTTAATTGGTAGTATCCAAAAAAGGGACATTTTACTGGTAGGAAAACATTAGATTTAAAAAAAATGATTTAATATATTACTACTCATATTGTGTGCATATTGTCCATGACGGGGTGGTACAAGAATGACTCCCTGGTCTGACTAAAACGTGTAATATTAATAAATATTTTATGCTTGAGGTGGGAAAATATGTTTTCTTGGAGGTTTAACATGTCTTTCATATTGTGGGTTTCTTAAAAAAATGTTTGCCCTTTATGAAAATTTTGTAAATTGCAAAGTGGAAATGGCACCCGTTTCACAGAATGACCCAATTTCATATTTTGGCACTCCTATGTTGGCTTCACTTTCCAGCACTGGAGTTTGCTGCTTGATTATCAAGCCATCCACCACCCCCCACACTCAAGACGACAAAGTTGTCACATAGTATATTACTTTTGAAACATTGACATGATACATATGAAATGTTCAAATGTAATTCATTCATGGTTTGTAAAAACATACAATGCCAACATTTTCTTCTGGCAACTGGGCTGAAATGTTTGGTGCTGCATTCAACAAGCTTAAGTGCAAAACAAGACGTGTTCATGTTTGTAAGTTAGATAAGGAGGAGACTTCCACAAGAAGGCTAATCTTGGTGGTCTTTGGCTTTGGGTCTTTGGTGTTGTTTAGCAGGTTGTTGCCTGGCTGTTGTAACTGTCTGTCTATGACAGAATAGTGACGTCACTGCTTCAAATATGGGTTAAAATTAAGTGATCTGATTGTCTTTATGGAAACGTCTATGTAAAGGGAGAATTACCATGGAGCCGCCTTTACAAAACAAAAAATAAAAATAAAAAAATTCTCCAGGTTCCAGGTATTTTCCTCAGAGGAGACCAGAGGACAAATGACTCACAGAACAGATATGTATGCTGGACCAGTAATAAAAACAAAAAAGCAATCAAAGTTTAATAGTGATTTCTGGTGTTGGCTATTGGTGAAACCTAACAATGCTGTGAGGTTTTACTCACCACATCAATAAGCTGGGCAATAGACAGGCCAAAGTGGACTAGCACTGTGTCTGAAGTGTTTTCCACAGGCCGGGAGAGCTTATTGTAATGTGCGAACAGATCCTGGAGCAGCCTCTCTTCAGCGTGGGCACGAGGTCCAACTTGGGAACAAACTGAGGGGAGGGAGGAAGACATTAGACACAAAGGAAAAGCTTAGACTAATAGCATGGCATTTTTAACCCCTTATGTGTAATTTAATGTACTTTAAGTATTTTAAAACAATATCTTTACATCTTTTCTTAAAACTGCATATAAATGCATCAGTTAATAGTGATACTCGTGCTCATGTTTCTTTTGTGCAGACTTTGACAATAACCTTCTATAGACATATAACCAGTTTGAATTGTTTCTCTTTTTGCACATTTGTATTTGAAATGGAAACTATGATTTCAAATGCATACTATTAATCCTGAACATATTTTATATCATCTACAATACATTCATCTATAATGGATTTAGCCGATCCATTCCACTGTGAAGAATTCAATGTACAGAGTGTAATCTAAAAGGAGGGTGACCTCTATTATACAGGTGGCGTATGGTTACACGGGACTGTATCTGACAGATGAGACAAACAGGGAGAGAGGAGGGGGGAGGAGATGGGAGATGGGAAAAGAGGAAGCACGAATCTGAGTCTGAGGACATCCGTTGCGTCTCTGAACGGACGTGCTGATGGAGCGATCTGTCGAGACGTCTCCTCCCTCCCTCGCCCGCTCTCACCCTCTCTGCTTCGGTGTCTCTCTGCCATGGCCGCTCTCTGATGGAGACACTCAACCCCACCAACCCCCCCGCGCTGAGGATGACCTAACAAGGTCCGGGAACAATTAAAGAGACGAGGATTGTCCAGAGAGTCGTACAGCACAATGTCCTTTGTATTCCAATCCGTTTTTTCATATTCAATTAGGCATTTTTCTATTCTGGACATGGTGCATCTGTGCAGGTAATTCAGTGGCATGGCAATTCATCATAGGCAGGATTTTGTTTCAGCAGCCTCAATGATATTTCATTATGCCTGGCACGACTGCATATTTCAATGTCTTCCGTGTGTGGACCACTGTATTGTGTATGATGTTTATTGCACAAAATAATAATTGAAATGGAGCTGGGGTTGGTTTTTATTACCTCATTATAACTTGAGTCATGTAAATGCACAGAATGGCTATCTATCTATGCTATTTATCTCTCTAATCTGTCTATTGTATCTATCCTTTTATCCATCTGTCTGTCTGTCTGTCTATATATTTATCTCTTATCTACTGTATCTATCTTATCTATTGTATCTATCTACCGAATCTACCATATCCTATCTTCCTATGCTCCTGTCTGTCTGTCTATCTCTTATCTACTGTATCTATCTTATCTATTGTATCTATCTACCAAATCTACCATATCCTATCTATCTTCCTATCTATCTATCTATCTATCTATCTATCTATCTATCTATCTTTCTATCTACTGTATCTATCTTATCTATTGTATCCATCTACCGAATCTACCATATCCTTTCCACCTATCTTCCTATCTATGTATCTACCTCTTATTCATCATATCATATCATCTATCTCTTATCTATAGTATTTGTCTATCTTTAATATCTATCTACCATATTGATCCATCTATCTATTCATCTCTTATCTACTGAATCTATGTATCTTATCTATAGTATCTATCTAACGTATCTAACGTATTGATTTGTACCGTATCGTATCTATTTACTGAATCTATCTTTTCTACCAGTTCTATCTTACCTACCATATTTATCTGCTCAATCTGCTGTATCTTTTGTATCTTTCTATCTCTCATCAACCATATTGATCTTATCTATTGTATCCACTATATCAATGTATCGCTTGTATCTATATATATTTGATCAATCTATCTGTCCATCCATCTATCAATCATCTGCTGTATAATCTACCTTTTATCCATCTATGTATCTATCTATCGCATGTATTTATATAATGTATGTATGTATGTATGTATGTATCTATCTATCTTAGACAAAGATGATCTGCTTTTCTAACTTCTTGTCTTAAAACAGGGACACAGGTGTTGTTGTCATGCTCCCGGCCTTCCTCTCAGGTTCTCCTGCCCACTCAATCAAAGCTGATGGGCTATCCTTCAGTTGCCTGCAAACTGGAATCCTCAGTTTTTAAAGGCTTGGGATCAATATCTTATTAAATGGATGTAGTTTCTTTTTTTATCCCCGCGTCTTTACTTCCTTTTCTGCCTGAATGTGTTTGACATGTCCAGACGCTTAACAACCTTGAAATGTCTCTCTGTTTTCCAATGAAAGAGACCAGCACAGGTACCTTTGTTTCATCACATCAGCTCAGCACGATATCTGTTGAATGCAGCTGATATTAAATAAAGAGGGACGCTCCAGTAGATTCTAAAGCAGGCTCGCAACTAATGGGTTTACATAGGGGAGCTCACAGGGTGTCATGACTTTGACAGTGTGTGGGGCAGAGCACTAATGTGTGCGGGAAAAACTGTTGAATGTGTTTGCTTCTGTACAATATGCTTTACAGGACACTGTGAATAACACTGGAACAGACTGCGATGTTACGAGTCACTTAGAATAGAGAAACCCTAGCCTTTTCATTCAAGTTGGCTGTCACATAATCACTGAACTTTTTTTTCTGTTTTTGTGGGAGTATCAAGTTCCTTATACTTTAATTTTCCTGGATGCTTTTCATTGTTGGTATCTGTTCTGACAATTATTTATGCAGACAATGGCAATCAAACTAACTGAATTATGTAAATCATCCAGAAATTATCATATTTATTTGTAATATAGTTAACCATTTCTGGTATAAAAAGCAAATATCATTTCCAGTAATGTTTATTTGCTGATATTTTTAGTTTTGCAGGGCACAAGCCAAACAGTTTCATCCTGCAGTTATCTAGATGTGTCTACTGGACCCAATTCTGTCCCCATTTGATCAATGTTCTCCCATTGGCCAATAATGCATGAGCAACGAGGATCACTTTCTATACAATCATGTCCTGCCCATGAACTGGGCAGACAACACTTGTTTCCAGGTCACTAAGCAACGGAGGCATTTCCTATGTCCTTGTCTAATGAAAACTACACAGAACAACAAAGTTTTTTGTGTCTAGAAGGTCGGGTTTTTTTTCTGTTAGTCATGTTATCAGATTCGCCTCAAGAAAAAAAAAATCCTGACTTAAGCTTAATTAGGGACTGTATAAAGCTATTGGGGTGGGGATGGGGAGTCTTAAATTTGTTTTATTAAAAAGCAAAACCCTCTGATGGCTTGTTTAATATTTTCTTTGGACCCTTCCCCTCATTAAAAAAATCTAATAACCTCCCTTCAGTATCTCATAACAATATACACATGGCATAAAAAAATCTAAATATAACACAATAAAGAAAATACAGCCACTCTCTTCTTCTAAATTATGAACTCATTAGTGTTCGAAGTTATTAAAGAGCTGGCCCGGGATCCAACTTTGTTCTTGCTGGTTGACTTGAGCACAATATTTTCACCCAAAATGAATGAAAAAAAATAATGTGTGATGAGTCAAAGTTGAAACACCTCCCCCTGCTCTCACAATAAACATAGACCAGCCTCACTTGAGCAAATATGAAAAAGACTTTTCTGATACCCCATCTTTTCTCCCCTTATAATTTGATAAAGAAAATGAGATGTGAAGCAAGTCTAAGTGAGAAAACGGTAATGATTTACCTTGTGGAGGTAGAGTGAGGAAAAGTACGCTCAAATATTTGTATATATCCATAGCGAACTCCCTCCAACTTCTGCTGGATTTCAGTCCCGATGATCAGTCATCCGTCCTGTAGCGGTCTTCAGGAGGTACAGATTAGGTTAAATAGCCAGATGGAGAGGTCATGTTGGTCTGTGTCAGCCCTGGGCCTGGTGTTCCTTCTGGCTCCGTCTGTCCATCTCCTTATCTGCTCTTTTGTCCAGTCTGTCCAGAGTGTCAGTATGAGGGACCACAGACCTGTGGTCTCCCTGATCCAACACTTGAAAGTCCCTCCTCGCTCCACTGGAATCCTTTATCCAAGTGTGGCTTATCCCTGTCTTCTCCACCCTCCCTGTCTACATTACTCTCTCCCTCGCCTCTCATCTCTCCGCCTCCTCACCTCATCTCTCTCTCTCTCTCTCTCTCTCTCTCTCTCTCTCTCTCTCTCACTCACACACACACACACACACACACACACACACACACACACCTCATTTCTCTCTTTGCATTCTCTTCTTCCCTCCCACTTATTTGCTTTTCTCCCTGTTCCAGTTTTTTGTCTCTCCTTCACTTTTTCCCATGAAAAACAATAAACTTTTTTGTCTGTGTGTGTGTAAGGGAGGGGAGAATTTTACATCTGTTGAGATGTTCTTACCAGCGCATACAGTACACATGAGCAGTGCTGTGTGTGTTTTTCGCAGACCAGATATTTGTATGTGAATTGTGTGTATGTAGATGGCTGTCAAAGGCCAGTCTGGTAGAAGTGCTAGTGAGTCATAGGACCTCTGGATACTCTTCAATCTCCTCTCTGCCCTGTTTCCCAGGAGCATATCGTCATCAATCCCCCTCTCTCTTTATCTTATCCCCTCCTCTCTCTTTTAAACACCCCTGACCCTCACCTGCTGTCAATTTTTTTCCCCCACGTAATGTCTTGCACACAGACTGATTTCTCTTTCTCTGCAACCTCACTGTGCATCACTGCCAGTCTGCTTTACAGCTTTTATACGTCAGGAGAGCTCAGTGCCAAGGCTGACCATCTATTGAGACAGTTGCACTTGCTTGAGGTGTGTTTACTGTTGCCTTAGATCTTTTTACCTTTCCCCAGCAATGCCGACATGTCATGTTTTGATGACACGAAGAAAGAGGGAATAACTGGAGACACTTAAATAAAACCTTGACTCGAGAGTCATGTTTACTTGAGATCGGCTGAGCCGCCCTTTTACTTATCCGACAGTTCTTTCCAACTGTGTTACATGATAGAGTGCAACAAAAGAGGTCCACATGGAGATATATTTTGCTGCTGTAGATGTCTTTGTCAGATATGCTTCTTTTCAATACGCTATGAGCCCACAGAGGAAAGCCTCCGCAGTGTACACATTGATTTTTTCTAATCAAAGACAAGGCTCCCTTGATCCAGTGATGACTAACAGTGACTTGACAGATGAAGAGATTGCTCTCACCGGTGTGCTGTCACGGTGCAGATGTACGTTCTTACCATCAGAGATTTGATAGCCGATTATTTAGTTGGATTGTTGACAGGAGTCCAGCAGGAATTTGTAAGTGGGACAGCGTAGCAGCATGGGGCCAATGGAAGAGGAAATCTCACTTTCAGTAGAGGGCAGGGTTTGCAAATAGGCCAATTACAGCCTGGTGGCGGACACATACATTAGTTTATCTCACACCCACATATAGACACATATAAGCTCCTTCTGTGGCCACCTCAGCTGACAAGAGGGACCATCTGTGCACTCTTCCATTGGTAAGGAAGTACAAGCAGCGGAAATATTCACCTCGTGCAGCAGCCTCCTAAATAATTCAACTTGCCTTGATATCAAAAAGGATTTGGTGATCCCCAAGCAGGCACTTGACCTCTGCCTCAGATGGTCACAACCCAAACACCCTTGCTGACCCTCTGTGGCCATGTTTGTAAGCAGCTGAGGTGGGTGGATGTATACCACAGTGGGATTTTCTGCCCATTAATTGTGATGGGGCTGTATTCAACTACTCACTAGCGCCCTTATGTACGGGGGCGGTGTTGGGCACTAACTGAGTGATTGCCGCATTTCCTACCTGGCTTCTGTGTTAGTGCTGTGGTCCACAGTTTGCCTTGGCTGATGCAGCGTCTCTTTATAGTCAGGTTTCCCAGCAACTGGAAGGTATGCATTCTTGCAATTCTACTGTGCTGCATGTTCATAGTGTGTGTAAATAGCGTAATTTCTGCCTAAGCTCCTTGTTTTGCAGGAGGGCTGGCTTGTCCAATTGGAGTGATGTTGTCTGCCTCAAGCCTAGGCTAAACGCAACTTGACTATTTGGGAAGGTATGCTCGTTTCCTTGGTTTCTGTTCTGCTGTTACCTATTGTGAGCGAGTGAGTAGCAACTTCTGGGTCTAAAAATGAAGTTAACGCTAAGTACCCAAAACTGCAGTTCCTTGAATGGCCACTTGAGGCTGGCTCCAAGAGTGAGTCAATCCCCTTAGACATCTACGTTAAAATGCCCAAATTTACAGCAGAAATAAACATGTTAACAGCCTGGTACAAAAAATGGTTTGCTCTCTATAGCTAATCTTAAGATTCATGACAACTTTAAAGTTACACATACTTAAGTGTGGGGTCGCTTGAGTGACAGACTGTCTGTGAGGCATTATACATTCTATGAGTCACAACCACTCTGTGCTCCTACACAGTTCCACCCTCTCGTCCAAATTTGGTCACCTCTGGCTCAAAAAAAAAAAAAACAAGGTGGCAAAGGGAGAAAACTCAAAACCAATGGGTGATGTCATAGTGGCTATCTATTATTTTATACAGTCTGTTTGAGCAGCTCTGGAGGCTCTCACCCTTCACTTGTTCAGTTACTGGGAAGGTGCGCCACAATCTGCTCTCTAGAATGGATCTGCGAGTTCAGCTTACTTTTGGTTTAAGTGTAATTCCTAGTTGGTAATTTTAGTGTTTCAATGCACTTTGCAGGCAGCTTTAGTCCAGACTGCGCATCACAGCGGAGTCCCCTTTCAAATTCCCAGCTTCTACTCCCTGGTGCACTGCTGTGTTGTTTCTACAAGGCTTTGCCTCTTCATTGTTTGTTCTCCACAGTCTCTATACCTTCACATGTGTTGCTTCTGCTTCTCTACAATTTTAGTTTTTCTTTTCTTTGTTTTGGGGTTACATGACTGGTTTTTATTCTATTTATTGTGTTTGTTCTTGGTAAGGCCACTGGTTCAGCTCTGCAGCTTTGTCTATGCTCACTTCAGCAGGAAGTGGTGAAGCTGTCCATGAGGACTCTGGAAATGTTATTGCTTTCCCTGTGAGAATACGATGTGTGATCTGTTTCTGTGTCTCTCTTTTGTGGCATGGTTTATGTTGTTATTGACTTTCTTTTCAGTTTGTTGGTTTGTTCATTTGTAAGATTGATTTCTTTTGGGTTTCTTGTGTTTTATGTGTTTGTAATATTAATTTTGATTGGTTTGTTCTATTTAATTGACTGTAAAGAGGCTGTTAAATGTAACTGCCCCTCATTTTAAGGAGAAGAAAAAGGAGACTGTGATATAATAAAGTGTATGTATTTTTGGAATTGTGTCTCAGTCAGAGTATTTTTGAACCTGTATGACCTTTTGTATCTTAAAGCAGTTAATGTTTCTAATAATTTCATGGTGTTAAAATCTGACAATGATAAAAAGCATAAACGGCAGTGTCTTGGCATTTGATAGCCCTTCTATCACAAGTCGTTTGTGTAAAGCCACTACGTACATACATCTAGCCACACTAGAGGCATGGCACTGGATGGCAATGTTGGTCCACTACTTTGGCGCAGACTGAAATATCTCAGCAACTATTTGATGGATTGCCATGGAATTTTGTGCACACCCTCATGTCTACGATGGAGGAGGTCTTTGGATTTTGGTGATTCCTCCACTTCTCCTTGAGTTCCACCAGAGGGCTGACTTTTTTTCCCGATTGTCTGCAATGGAATTTGGAAGGCTACAGATATCTATGCTTGACCTTAGTGTTCCCTTTGACCTTTTTATGTAGCATATCCAGCTGATCAAAGCTTTCCAATCTTATTTGACAAAATAACTCAAAAATCTATTCAACTGGTTCGTGAATCATTTTGCAAAGAGAGATCCCCTGACTTTTCCACTCACGCCACCACTTTTTGCTGAGTGTGAATTTGCAAATGTTAGCTTGCTAACATGCTAAACTAAGATGTAGCGCATGCTTTACATTATACCTGCTAAGCATCAACATGTGTATCTATGCCGGAGGAGGTTAACAGCATACATTGCTGTCTGTCAAAGCTGCTTTTTAGTGCTACCACTTGGGGGCACCAAAGTTGGAAATCTATAGATTGTACCTATAGTGGCTCCAATGGTCCAGTGTGCTGGATTTAGTGGCATACAGCTGTGAGGTTGTAGAACTTAAACTTCTCTCGTGTGCCATGCATGTGAGAATACTACGGTGGCCGACACAAAAACTTCACCCTGTCTAGAGTTTGTGCTTAATTTGTCCGTCTTTGGCTTCTGAAAAAACAACATGGTGGACTATATCAAAGAGGACCCACTAGATATAGATATAGTGTAGATATACATGGGTCATTCTAAGGTAACAAAAACAAAACTATTCTTATTTTTAGGTGATTATAAACTCATGAAGACATAATTATGATTATTATTCACCATTTCTGCCAATAGATGCCCCTAAATCCTACACACTGGACCTTTAAATGTGTTTGACCTCTGCAAACTAAAAACACTCCCACACCAACATAGCATCTCCTCACATTGTTTTGTTGTAGTGCTTTATGCAATTTTGTGGATCTAACAGTGAACTTCAGGCTTGAATCTAAAAGATTATTCAAACTTGAGTCACATTTGACTTGCCAAATAAAAAAAATGAATAAATAAAAAACCTTGGAACTCTACTTGGACTTTAAAACCAACGACTCAAAACTCTGCTCGGGCTCTAGCCTTTGGGCTTGAAATGAGTTGATACCCTGCCAAACCTAAATTAATAATCGTGATAATGTGCTCTTGCTTGTCATTCTCTCACAAGCCTTTTACACTCATGGGAAGACAGTGCAGCAGAGAGAGTTGTGAGGATAAAAAAACACAACGTACCCACACAAGAAATACTATGCTCTAGATGCCAATGCTGCGTCAGTCTGTTATTTTATATCTGAAAACTGATAAAGGACTAAGGCAGACAGGTAGACTTGAGTGTTTGGATCTCGTGCCAGGCTGTCCAGAGTTTGCAGAGAAAAATAAATTACTCAGCCAATTCTATTATTATCACTTTATTAATCTTACTCTTATTATTAATATTAATTTACTGTTAAAAATGT